TATAGGCTAAAACCAAAATATGGTACACAGTTTATTAATAAAATATAGCATATTATGCACAGGAAAGCAGACAAGCCCAGAATAGCTATAAAGAAGCCAAAACATAATTTAAAGCGAAACTAATGTATGGGTTGGAAAGTATGGGCTCACGTACTGCTCTCATTCAGCACAAATCCAAATGTTTCCATATTCGCAATGTATTTGAAGCTAAACCATTATTTATTAAATTAACTGGGCTTTGTACGTTCCACTATCGAATTAAAAAAAAATCATAATGAACAAAAATGTGCCGGACTGGAGTGGACCGGGGCTCACGCTGTACGGCACTGACTATAATACAGATTATTTAAATTGACTGTGTAACATTTTATCTGTATCGGTGATTCTATGTTTTATTTTAATAATGAACAGGCTGTTTGCAATGAATATGTGCGCATGAGGCGCCGGCGCGATCAAATCGCTGAAACATAAAATAGCCTACTCCGTCACTTACAGTAGGGCATAATTCGATGCAAAGTGTTAGCAGTTTGAAGATTCAATCATATAAAAGATTATTAGAAATTTTATAAAGCGAGCACTGTTACGTTCTTATTTCGCTCTGAAACCTACGAGAATGCAATTTTCCCTGAATATCCAAAAGACTGCAAATGTGACATTGATTTTATATAACAGTTCAACAAAAAAGGCAATATTAAGTGTACATTTTACATTTTAAATGTAGCCTACATTTTAAACACAATATTGTTTGTTATATTTTACAAGGAAATAACAGTTCCAACGAAATCCGCAACAGAACTGGTGTGCGTCTCCAAGCTACAGCAGTGTTTCGTTAGAGAATGAATCTGCAGCTTTGAATGATTCTGAGAGTACTGATAATCGGAACGGATTAATAACCCTTTCATAACTACAACCATTTGCTTCGTTACTGAATGAATGAATGCTTCGCCTTGCTCATTAGACAGTGACTGGCCGCCACCTACTGGCGATTTTAGTTTAGGCTAAATGCCCTAGGGGTACACTTTGAGAACCACTGGCTTAATGGATTACTGCGTTGATTGCCTGTAGTATATTTTTAATAAAATATAAAATTTCTTCTTATATTAAGCCACGTTAAGTGCGGTTTTCTATGGGGAAGAAATGCAATTCAGCTCATATGGGCTCATCTGCTTGCATGTACACAGAATATATTTTTAATAAGTTCTATAGCATATTTGGTCTTTTTTTTTTTATCACCGTCTTCATTAAGCCGCGTTTTCTTTATGGGAGGAAAACGCTTCTGTTCTTCTGGGCTTACTGCTTTCATGTATAATTTATTAATAAACTGCATACCGAATTCGACCTTTTTATACCACTATCTTAGTCCATTAATTAAGCGTTTTCTTTCTATGAGGGATATGCTTAAAGTGCAATTCAATTTACCGGGTTACGTTCATATTCTGGGCTATTCTGCTTGTCTGTATGCTTTATTAATAAGGTATGTACTGAATTTAGTCATCCAGTGGTTTACATTAAGCATTTTAGAATGTCCCAAAACCGTGCCTTGATAAGCATGCACTGACTATTTCGTCCAAGTTCAAAACAAAACTCTATGAACTGCTCCATTGTGAACGTATGGAGCTGCATGAACCACTACAATCTGTAAAGTAAACAGGAAGTGTTTGATATCTTTGCGAGAGAAAGCAAAAGTTTTGCGAGAGAACCAGTTTAGGGGCTCCGTATGATCCAGTCTTTTACAAAAACGCAATTTTCTTTTTTAATGGTTTTAATGAAACACCCACATTCAAGTATTGAAAAGGTTTTTGTTTTGTTTTGTTTTTGTTTAAAAGCAGAGGCTCTGTTCTTTGTTCAGGTATTCATACAACAAAATATTCTGGGCGCCGTTAAACTTTTGTGAAAATGATAAAAAATGCCGGTGGTGGCTGGCAACTTAATAAAACAAAAATAATAATAATAATAAAACGCTGGTGGGGAAAGAGTTTAGTGGCTAGCAATACCACAAAATAGCTGCTTCATTTGTAAAATACCGTTATTTTGTCAACACTACAAGCAGAAGATCAGTTTGAAACCATCACCCTGTAGCATCAATACATTCATCATCAGCGTGACTGCTACAGTACATGTGTCTACATATTTATAATGAATATTTGCTGTGACAGAACAACCCACATTTGTGAGCAAATGAAAGCAGCAGGAAATTGCTCGTGCCCCTTAAACATGAATTCTTCTGAACATGTTGAACAGATGAATCCAAACATAATTTCTTTTGTCGGTTCTGTAACACGTCTCAGTACTCAAGAATCAATGAGAGATTTATTGTTTATCATTCACTCTAATTGTGCTGCCTTTGCAGTGCAGAAACTGCAATTTCAGACATACAGTGAAAATCAATTTGTAAGAGCTAGATGGTCCCTGACCATGAAGGGTTCGCACATGAGTCCTAAACAGAAAACATTATGTGTGAATACCGATCTTTTCCGGTCTCTCTGTTGCTTTCTCTTTTTGCAGCTGGAGAATCATTTCAGCCCAAACTGTTCATTCTGGAACTACTCTGAGCGTTCAATGACGGGCCAGTGGTCATCTCAGGGCTGCAGGCTGATGGAAACCAACAGCACACACACAACTTGTTCTTGTAGCCATCTAACCAACTTTGCCGTTCTCATGGTACACCACGAACCCAACGTAAGTGCACATGTGCACATATTCCTTCTTTACATTCATCACCTGCTCACAAACAAATCTGAATATAGCTCTCATGCACATGAACAACTTTTTCGCTTGCACACAGTCTGTAAGACAAACACACATATCTATACACACAAGAGCAAAATACACAAACAAACACACAGCAATTTCAGCTTGACATTTACTGGATTTTCATAAGTCACTCTCTCTCAGGCAGCCTATCCGTTTATACCATTTCCCTTATCCATCTCTCTGTCTCTCTCAGTATCCAGGCAGGATGCACGAGCTGATCCTCTTTGTGATCACATGGGTGGGTATCGTCATTTCACTGGTGTGTCTCGCCATCTGCATCTCCACCTTCTGCTTCCTGCAAGGTTTGCAGACCGACCGCAACACCATCCACAAGAACCTCTGCATCAACCTCTTCATCGCCGAGCTCCTCTTCCTCATCGGCATCGACAAGACACAGTACCACGTGAGAAGATTCTCGATCTTTATTAAGGGGAGAATGCACTGAGAATTAATTACACCCGCTGATTGTAGTGTTTATGTGCACCCACTGATAGAACATGCTGTCTGCATTGTTTAAGCATCCGATTAACTGAAGGAATTGCATGCAAAATGCATTAAGTGCAGGTCATTTGCATTAATTTGCATGCCACAGTTCAGATGAGTGCTTGATCTGAGTGCTCGGTTGTGGAGGATGCAGCAGACTATCACAATCTGACATAATTTACTGGGGTTTCATTCCCCATGTTCTTGCTCTCTGATATAAATGAGAGAATAAATACACTACTGTTCAAAAGTTTGGGGTCAGAAAGATTTTTTTTTTAAGAAATGAATACTTTTATTCAGCAAGGATCCATTAAAATTAATTAAATGTGACAGTAAAGACTGTCATTTAAAGACTGCCGTTTTTTTGCTTTATGCAGCAAAGAATTCTGAAAATCCTGAAAAAGCAGCACAGCTGTTTTTAACATTGCTAATGATGAGAAATGTTTGTTGAGCATCAAATCAGCATATTAGAATGATTTCTGAAGGATCATGTGACACTGAAGACTGGAGTAATGATTATATATATTGTCAAAGCTTCTCTTCTGTTGTTCACATCTTTTCTCTTAAGAAATTTACTTCCCGTCAGGCTCAGTGCACAAACGGTGCCAAGCACGACTTGAGTCATGAATATTAATAATGTTATGTGACGTTCGCACTGATTTGCTGAAAGGTGGATGTTTTTAGGTGAGTGCACTTGCAATAGTGGGATCACTGTTTGCCGCCTGTGCATTCGTTCAGCCAGTCAATTGGCAGATACTTCTGCTGGAAGGCCTTTTATGTGCCAGCTACATTTTCTTTTCCTTCACACTGCAGCCCAGCAAAATAAAACACTTTCAAATGTGATTATCATCTGAGAATTTTTTTTGTTTTTTTGGAGGACAGAGTTTTATGCTAAAGGTCAGTGGAAGTCAATGGTCACCAAACCTGTTTAGTTACATTCTTCCAAATATGTTATTTTCTGTTCCACAGAAGAAAGAAAGTCATACAGGTTTGAAAAAACATGAAGGGGAGTAAATGATCATTTTTGGATGGACTATTCCTTTTATGTTCATAGTCACTATGCAAGTATCGTTAAATTTACTTCCTCTGATATGTTTCTCACTAACCCCTCTTCCCTCTTTTTGTCCGAATACAGATTGCATGCCCCATTTTTGCAGGCCTGCTGCATTTCTTCTTCCTGGCTGCGTTCTCCTGGATGTGTCTGGAGGGAATCCAGCTGTATCTGATGCTGGTGGAGGTCTTTGAGAGCGAATACTCCCGAAAGAAATACTACTACCTGTGCGGCTATTGCTTTCCCGCCCTTGTGGTGGGCATCTCAGCAGCCATTGATTACCGCAGCTATGGGACTAAGAAAGCGTACGTGTGTCTATTTACATTCGGCCATACAAGGGCTGTTGGTTTCTGAGCAGCAGACGCGACCCCCTCTTTAAACAATTTGTTTCATTTAAATGGATTCCAGCAAAATGGCTCTCTGGGAGTTTAAATTCCATACAGTACAGTATCATCTTTCACTAGGAAACGTACACTGGTATTATGTAGTTTGGAGTTCAGTTGGACATTGGTCGCTGTCATGTGATCCTGGCCTAACCAAGGTCATCATGTGAATTATAAATGAAGCCAGTTAAAGATGTTGCAAGCACTCTTTTTTGGAATAGCACGCATAAATCTGATAGATCCTGCTGTGATAATTAATTTTACAAGAACACATCTCAAAGCTGCATCTCACACTATTTTTAACATTACGGAAAACTAATCTTATGTAGGGTTTCCACGGTCATGGAAAACCTTATTTTTATAATCTAATTTTTAAAACCTAGTTTATAATCTAATAAATAAAATCTTAAATAGTTATGGAAATTTGGAATTTCTGTAATGATTTTATTTTTACTCTAAAATGTTTTGTTTTGCTTTTATTTATTTATTTATAAAAAAAAATATTTATTTATTTAAAAATTATTTTTATTCATTTAAAAATATGTATGTATGTATTTATTTATGTATTTTACTTTTGTTTTAAAATGCCTAAAATAATACTATATATATATATATATATATATATATATATATAT